CTGCCCCGCCCAGTGCCCCACCCAGTGCCCCACCCAGTGCCCCACCCAGTGCCCCGCCCCGTGCGCGGAGCCCTGCGTCACCAAGTGCGTGGAGCAGTGCCAGGCCGAGGTTTGCAGCACCAAGTGCGTGGAGTCGTGCGAGACCGTGTGCCTGGAGCCCTGCTCCCACCCCTGCTGATCCCGGCCCCGCCGAGCGGCTCCGGTGACCGGTGAGGAGCCCGAGCCGCCGGTTCCGGGATGGAAAACACGGCGCAGACCCATCGGCGACGCAACCAGGCTTCTCCTGCTCTGATCCTGCCACGTTCTCTTCCTCTTGGAAGACGTTTCCTCTCCCAGTGTTTCCCTGTGTTTTCACTCCTGCTCCTGCCGCGCCGGCGTTTTTCCTTGGGCGTTCCCGATATTTTGGGGACCTCGGGAAGTGCTGTCAGCAGCTGGTGGTGGAAGATGCCGACGCTTTTCCCCTTCTCTTCTCCTCTTGTCTCTTCTCAGTCTTGTCAATTCTCTGTGCAGCAATAAAAAAATGACCATCGATGGCACCAGGTGTCTTTTGCCTCTTTTCTCCCCGTTTCCACCTCCTCAGACCCCAAAACTTCTTCCGTAATTTCCGTTTTCAAGAGTGGTTGGGGTGGGGTTTTGTGCCGGAAGTGAAAACAAAACGTTTTAATATGGAGAAATTCCTTCTAATCCTGCAAGGAAATCATCATCAATTATTTCCTGAATATTATTGATAGAAATTTGATTTTTCTGACAGAATTTTGGTCTTCACAGCTTGAGGCTTTGGGGGCAAATCCTAGAAACGGTTGAAAGGCGAATTTAAGTGGAAGAAAGCCTTAATAAAGAAAGAATTGAACACCTGGAAGGTAAAATTTTAAATAAATACAAACACACCTTTATTCTAGATAAGTTTGAAGCTGAAGGGTGACCCCCCATTGCCCGGAGGGAGTTAAAAACATTAAAAACCCCAAATTCCGGAGATAAAGGTTGTGCCTGTGGCTTTCTTCACCTCCGTGCAGGCCACGCCATTCCCAGTCTGGGAATGCTGAAATCGCTCCCCACCCACCCCCTCATTAAGGGAAGGGTGGGGAATGTCTAATCTGGAGAAGAAAAGCGAGATATTTATATTCAGGGGCGTGCCAGCGGTGTTTCCAAATCTGTTTGCAAACCTTTTTAATGTGCAGGTGGGGAGGTGAGGAGCAGGCTCCTCTCAGTGTCCCTCGGTGTCGACACCAGGAGGTGACACCGAAAAAGGTGACACCGAGAGGTGACGCCCTCAGACGGGGTGGGGGGGGATCACTTCTGAAAATAAAAACCTGAGCACAAAAAAAACAACCTGAGCACTGCTGAGGGAAAAGCAGGAGCAGGAATTCCCAAAAAAAAAATGGATGGGGAAATGAGGAATGAGGACCTGAGGAGGGGAAAATTTGGAGCAGGAATTCCCCCCCAAAAAATGGATGGGAAATGAGGAATTTTCACCTGAAGAGAGGAAAATCGGGAGCAGGAATTCCCAAAAAAATGGATGGGGAATGAGGAATTAGCACCTGGAATTCCTCCATGGAATTTGCAGATCCAGGCTCTGCCTCAGGAGTGAATTTTGCGGCATCCTGGGGGCACGGAGGAGGTTTTGGGGATCAGGGCAAGCAACCCCACACTCGGACCAGGAATTCCCAGGAAAATGGAATTTGAGCCTCAAATTCCTCCAAACTTTTGGGGATCCAGGCTCTGGAATGCCACTTTGGTGTCCTCTTGGAGGCCTGGAAGAGGTTGAGATCCTGAATCATGTTAAAAATTTAAATTTGGAATCACGTGGAGCTCCTCTGCTCCGTGAGTCACCTGATTCTGGAGCATCCTCATCCCCATCCATCCAGCCACTGGAATTTTCCCCTTTTTTCCCTGGGATCAGGGGTCAGGAGAGCACCTGGAAAACCCAGAGGAAGTGGCCAGAGGGACCTGGCCATTTCCTGTGGCCAAGCCCTGACACACCAGCCGTGGTCAGTGCCAGGAATTGCTGGAATTCCCGGAATATTTGCAATAAGTTGGGGATATTTCATCAGGGTGGAGGTGGAGGAGCCTGGAAAATTCTCCTGATTTCTTGGGGAGGAAAAATTAAAGTTGAATTCCTGTTCTTGGGATGGGAATTAGAGAAGGGAAACAGCAAAATCCAGAATCGCGGGGTTCCGAGCTGGGATCTGTTGCTTTTCCCAGGAGTTGGGAGTTGGGAGAATCCCAACCCCTCTCGGATTTCTGGAGATCCCCCCAGCTGCTTCCCGACCAAAATCATCCCTAAAACTCATTCCCGAGTGGATCTGAGTCGTCCCAGCTGCCGGTTCCTGGTGGGATCTCTGCCTGGAACGGAGACTGGGCGAAATATTAATGAATTATTAATAAATTACTAATAAACCATCAACAAATTACCCGGCGATGAGCAGCCCTGGGTGTGCCCAATCCCCCGCAGCCGGGAGAGGAGGGAATCTCTCCCAGACTTTGACTGAGGTCCAGGAGGTGGGAGCGGCGCCGGTTCCGGTTGTGAAAGATTTTCTGGTCACCGAGTTTAATCCGGAGTCATCGGCCCTTCCGCAGGGATATAAAAGCCGCTCCGTCGGGAGCCTCCACACCCGCAGCGGCTCCTCCTCAGCTCCCTCCTCCAGCAGGACGCTCCAGGTGAGCCCTTCCCTGCCCTTTTTGCCACCCCCGGGTTGGAAAAAACGGGATTTTCTTTCCCAATCCCCAAAAAATTCCGCCTGCGGCGGCGTGGTGGAATTTCGGGGGGTTTTGGGGCTCTTTGGGTCAGCGCTCTGTGATTTTTTCCCAGGCTGATAAGAATCCCGTGGATAACCAAAGGTTGGTGTCCATGGGTAGACGGTGGAAGAGATTCCCGGATTTCCAGGGATCCCGGCTCTGTTTCCTTGGATAAAATCCTCATTCCGCCCGAATTTCGTGGCTCTGGGTGTGGCTCCTGCTCTGGGGGGGGTCTCAGGGAGCTGGGAAAGGAGGTGGTGGTTCCAAAAATCTGTACCAAATATTGGGATTGGCACCAAATACTGGGAATATTATCAAATACTGGGAATATTATCAAATACCGGGAATATTATCAAATACCGGGAATATTATCAAATGCTGAGAATATTATCAAATATTGGGATTGGTATCCAATTCTGGGACTGTTAGCAAAGGATTTTTCCCTGTCAAAAACTCCCAATCCTGAAATTTTCCCTCTTTTCCACTCCTCTTTGGCCGCTTTTCTTGGAGCTTCTCCCTGAGTCCAGCTTTCCTCCAAATCCATGTTTTTTTCCCCCCCCGAGCATTCAAAATTGAGATTCCCAGGAAATGAAGGAGCAGAGGGAAGGAAGGAAAGCCCCAGGTGCTGCTTTGTCTCCTCTCCAGCTCTGCAGCCTTTTCCTGGCTTTGCTAGGCTGGGCTTGGCCTCTGATCCCAGTTTTAGGCAGAGCCATTCCCCCATCCCTCAGTGGAGCCACCGATCCTGCAGGGAATGGGGTGGAATCCCAAAAAAAAACCCCAAAAATGGGCTGGAAACCGAAATCCCCCAAATCCAGGCAGCCCTGCAGCATCCTCAGGGATTTAATTTAATTTTAATGCCTGGATTTGCTCCGGGATTAAATCCTTGGGGTCAACCTCGGAGCCTCAACACCCTGAAAGGGCCGATCCAAGCTCCAAAAAAACCCCTAAAATCCAATTTTTTTTTGGATTCCAGGCTGATCCAGGATGTCCCAGCAGCAGAAGCAGCCGCAGCAGATCCCGGCCCAGTGCCAGGAGAAGTGCGGGGCCCTTCCCAAGGGGGTCCAGCAAAGCCAGGCCTCCAAAGGCCAGGCCAAGGCGGCCGTCAAGAGCCTCCCCCAGCAGCAGCAGCAGCAGCAGCAGTGCTCCAAGCAGAAGTAGAATCCATCCCAAATCCCAAATCCCGCTTTTTCTCCACCTCTCCGGGCTCCCGGGAACCTCTCCGGACCTGCTCGCCGGCCGGGATTTACCCGGCGAGGAGACGCGCTTAATTAGGGTTAGAAATGAATCATTAATTCCGCGTTTAATTTGGGATGTGGCGCAATAAAATGATGGAATGGCCTCGTTTTTCCTGGTGGTTTTGTTGGTGATTTTCTCCCATTTTTCCCCTTCACTTTTTTCTCTTGTTTTTCCCCCCCAAAAAATCAGCTTTAATCAAGGCAAACCCCGGCTTTTGCAAGATGAGATTCCTCTCCATCTTTCTCAGGAAAAGCCGTGGGAAATCCCCAAAACCTGGGGGGAAAAAAAATCCCCAAAACTTGATTAAAATAATTCCCAAAATTTGGTATAAAAATTCCCAAAGCTTGGGATAAAAATTCCCAAAACTTGGTGTAAAACCTCCCAAAACTCGGTACAAAACCACCCAAAATCTCGGCATTAAAAACCCCTAAATCTCGGTATTAAAACCCCCAAATCTCGGTATTAAAAACCACCAAAACTCGGTACAAAACCACCCAAAATCTCGGCATTAAAAACCCCTAAATCTCGGTATTAAAACCCCCAAAACTCCGTATTTAAAACCTCCTAAAACTCGGTACAAAAACACCAAAAAATTATGTAAAAAAAAAGGCCAAAACTCAGTATAAAAACCCCCCAAAACTCGGTATAAAAAACCCCCAAGACTTGGTATAAAACCCCCCAAAACTCGGTATTAAAAACCTTAAAACTCGGTATAAAAAACCCCCAAAACTCTCTATAAAAATCCCCACTACCAGGAACAAAAATTCCCAAAACTCAGTACTGAAAGTCGCTTTTATTGTGGGATTTTTCACGGCGAAATCAATCCTGGATCCAACAGCAGCCGAAAATAATTGCGAGACAAAGTCCCAAACACCGCCGGGTGGCGAAACATTCCCGGCTGGAATTCCGCCTTGATCCCGTCTGCGCCACGCCCGGGGTTAATCCCTTCCCAAACATGTCTGGAGTGGAGTTAATGATCCATAAATCGGGATAATTATGCAATATTCTCGTCCTGAGATGTTCTTTGACACCTCCGAGGAAATTCAAGGGGAGAGAGAGCTCAGATCTATCCTTAAAATTCTCTTTTTCTCCCCCCTCCACTCCCAAAGGATTCTTCTGAATTCCACCAAAATCGGATCTATCCTAAAAATCTCCCTTTTTTTCCCCCCTCCATCCCAAAGGATTCTTTTGAATTCCACCAAAATCGGATCTATCCTAAAAATCTCCTTTTTTTCCCCCTCCATCCCAAAGGATTCTTTTGAATTCCACCAAATATTCAGCCCCTTAATTCCCGATTTTGGGAAGTTTTGGGGGCAGATTCCGCAGTAATCTGATTTATAGGGAAAAACTTCCTGAAATCCCAGGTGGGAGCTGGAATCCAGAGGAGAAAAGAAGGAAAAAGGGGATGAGCTCTTCCCTGGATTTGGTTTTTTTTTAATTTCATGAACCCCTCCCTGTTCCATGAT